TATAATCCCAAACAAATAGCTGTACTCCTTAATCAGACATGCCACCCCATATTCTCCTGCACCTTTTTCTAATAATGTTTGGGTCTGTTCATCATTGACTCATGAACTTTGCTCATATTTGTGGGGTTTATTAAGGAAACAGGTTAGAAAATCGTTGTTGTTGCTGTTGTTATGTGCCGTTGAGTTGTTTGTGACTCATAGCAACCCTATGTACAGCAGCCCTAAACCCTGCTCGGACCTGTGCCAATCGCATTGCCTCTGACACACCCATCCCGATTAGCCCAGTCACTGAATCAATCCACCTCACAGAGAGTCTTCCCCTCCTGCGCTGTCCCTCTACTCTACCCAGCATGATGTCCCTCTCCAAAGACCTGTCTCTCCTTGCAACATGTCCAAAGAATGTCAGACGAAGCCCCAGGTAAAAAATATCACCCAATGCAAGTCCAGGTTTAACCTAACAAACTGAAATCAGATTGTTACTACTGCGGTCGAGTCACCTGCAACTCCTAGCGACCTTATGTACAACAGCTCTGAAGCCTGTGCTATTCAGAGCCAGTCTCACTGACCCAACATACTTACCCTTATTTCCTTTTATCCCAGTTACTGTATCAATCCATCTCATATAAGGTCTTCTTCACTGTCTCAAAAGACACAATTTCTCAATTTGTGATAGTCTGGGGTCAGTTCATCCACACAAATGCAAGAAACCTCTGGTTTACTTGACTATCTAGTAAACTTTATCTCAGAGCTGGTTATAAGCCAGCTTTCCTTTCAATTATCTGACAAGCAAAACTTTTAACTGCAGGGTAAATGCAGGATTCCTCTGTTTACACCTCACAGTAATGCCACAGTCTCCATACTCTCTTCACCACCTTCACCAGGGTACTTCACAGCATAGAAAGCGTTTTCTCTTCTATTTGTCCCACAGTTCTTGATGATTGGCAAAATCATGTGTCCACAGTTAAGGTAACTAGAGACCATCCTCTCCCCCCAGTGGAGGCTAACATAATGGCTAGAAAAGAAAATTTTTATGGTTTCTCACCCTATAAAATGAAAACTATATATTTAATTTTTAAATCATCTCTTTCTTACTCTTTGATATTTCTACCTTCAAGTTTGGCATTTGGTACACTCTGAAGCTACTAACATGTTGAAATTTGTTCATAATTTAATTTAACAAACTCTGTACTCTGTAATATTTAGTTATAATTCTTGAGCAAGAGCTGTTGAAATAAGCTTAACTCCTAAATATCCTTTTGTAAACTTGTTCTTGTCAGCTTTTCATATTGTAAATTTGACCCGATTCTACAGATTGTATTTTCAAGCCTGATATTCTGACTAAGTAGTTTATAGTATAACTGTCAATATAAATTACATATCTTATCAGGCATCTTTCATCTGAAAGTTCCTGAATCTTCTCCTGTGGGCTCTGCTATTGGAAGAATAAGAGCTGTGGATCCTGATTTTGGAAAAAATGCAGAAATTGAATACAACATTGTGCCAGGAGACGGAGGAAATTTGTTTGACATCATCACAGATGAGGACACCCAAGAAGGAGTCATCAAACTGAAAAAGGTATGTAAACAAGTATCTAGACAGTTGACTGGAATTGAAGAGAAAGATTGAAAATAAAAAAAAAGACAAATCATTTTAAATTTTCCTTCTAGTTGAGAAATTGTACATTAAAAATAAGGGAACTTTGGTGGCCTAAGTGGTAAGAATTCGTACTCTCCACCCAAAGGCAGGCTGTTCAAATTCACCAACTGCTCCACGGAATAAAGTTGGCATTTTCCTTCTGTGTGATTGATAGTCTCTGTAAACACATTGAAGGCTTAGCTATGTGAGAGTTGGTTCCAACTGAACAGTACTGAGTTTGAGTGGTGTGTTTATTCTTTTGATTTTCATAATTTTAATTTTTCTAAATTAACTATACTTTCATAGGTATTTTTATTATATGACTCAACGGGTATATATGTTAAAATATACTTAAATTTATTGATTTCATGATTTTAAATCTGATTAAGGTTTAATTGAGCTCTGATAACCTAGTCCTAAAAAGCCATACTGAACTTTGAAAGGCATGCGATTCAAACCCACCATCTGCTCTGTGGGCAAAGCTTGGGCGATCCCCTCCCAGTAATCTATTGCCCCTGAAAACCAGCTGGAGGTCAGCTGTGTGTCAGTTCTGATTTCATGGATCACAACAACAACAGAACACAATTTTAATTTAAAATTGCATTTCTAGAAATAGAATATAATTTAATATAAAAATAAGAGCCAGAAGTAAATTCCAACTTTTCTTAAAATATAGATATATTCTAATTGATCTATAGTATATACCTGAATCTTAAACTTGAAAGAATAAAAAGAAGTCCTTGTAGCTTTTAAGAAATTTCTGTATTAAAAGCCACTGGCAGTAGTAGTTAATTCATTGAGATAGTGGTGTATGACCATCTTAGCCATACACTTAGAGAAAAGGTCAGTCCTGGAATGCCCAGTAGACAGACCACCATAAGGTATTTTTAGACTATGAGGTAGGAGACCAATGGTGAGTGAACATATTTAGTAACCTTTCCAAGGGATTTCCCTGTATACTCAGAGGTGACTAAAGACTACAAGAATGCAAAGATAGAAATAAGATCAGTTAAAAGCCTGTTGAAAAATTTCAAAGGTGAGTTGATCGTAAAATGTAACATGATCTTTGCAGTAAGAAATACTGTGAGCAACTGACAAGAGGCTGGCTAGAATGTGGAGACCAGCCAAACACATATGTTTATAAATTTTTCCTTCACTAGGTTTGTTATAGCACTTGATACAATATATGGATTTTAATTCTTGACCTCTAATGTTAGTTTCTAAGTAAGAATGCAGTAGAAGCAATATCTACTTATTAGTCTACTTTCTTTTTTAGGGGCAAAAAAGCTGCAATTTGAAATTTATCAATTAACCTTTTCAAAAGTAACTCAGGAAACCTTTTCCTCCACCCCATAATAATTTAAAAACTATCTCTTGTGTGTGTGTGTGCGTGTGTATGCAGTGTGTATGTGTTTGTGCATCACAGATATCTGACTTAATTACACATGGTAATGTTTTCCCATTCCAGTATCATCAAGATAAAGTATTCAGTTGAATAAGCACTTAAAAAAATTAAAGAATAACTCGTTACGTGCTGTGGAGTCGCAGGTGACTCATAGAGACCCTATGAAGAAGAGTCCTCAACACTTGGGTGCCTTTCATCCTCTCTCCAGGTTCTTAGGGTTTCCAGAGGCAAGCTATTGGAAGTGGATGCCACTCCTCCTTCCAAGCTTGTTTTAATAGGGAAGCTCCACCCCACTCTCTGTCCGCATTGGGTAACCAGCCATTAAGGCATTTGATACATCAGTGAAACAGTGTTCAGCCTCACAGCAACCACAAGTGACTGTAGTACGGCACTTGTAAACCAGGGCTATACGACCCAGAGGAATGTCTAAACAAAAATAATGAAAGACAGGCCCGAGGGCTGCAAATTAATAGTCAACTCAGATGTACTTAACAAAAACTTAAACCACTAAAATTATAGAATAACTTGAACAACTAAACAACTTCATTTCTTTAAATTCAGAGTATTTTTCTCCAGATAGACCACTACTGCCTATATTCATGAAGTCCTCTGAAATCTTTACCTTGAATTTCTTTTTAAGAGTGCGAGAAAAATTTGGAGTAAAATAATAAATATGTATATAAGTGGTAAGAGTTTTCATTTTTGTTATTACTTTACAATTAGTTTTTAAATTTTCACTGAAGAATTTGAGCATAGAATTACAACATGATAGATAACTAATCAAATTCATGTAGGAATTTTTTTTAAAGTCATCTATTTCAATGCTTTGGAAAATGGTTTAAAATTCAGTAAAGAAACAAAGATGTGCCTCGCCTTCAGAGAGTTACCATTGTTTCTTAATTTCATTTCAAAATATTTCAAATTGCTTATATTCTTTGAAGTACATTTTATTTTTCTCTTCAAAATCCTTTCTTCTTTATCCTTTGAATATTGTCCTCTTTACCCCTTCTGATCCTCTGTGGAAGGAGACACTAAGTAGATAAATAAAGATGGTCAGGTTTATACGAGCTGAGAAGGATGAAAGAAGGCATTTTTACTTCTTTTTATCTTATTTTATTTCTTTTCAGTCTTAACCTGAATTCATTTTATGAGCACTGTGATAGAACACCATTTCACTGTGTCACTCTGAATTCAAAATAACATTATGAAATTTTATGTATCTCTCCAAGGCATACAATAGTTTTAAAAAAAATATTCCTACTCTACTCATATCATATTACTTTGATACAATTTTTTAAGACTCCTCTTTTCTAAAAATTATTTTTAATTGCTTTGTTGTTGTTATGTGCTGTTGAGTCACCTGTTACTCATAGCTACCCTGTGTACAACAAACCTAAACCCTGCTGTCTCTTGTCAATCTTGTTGTCTCTGACACATCTATCTCCATTACCCCAGTCACTGAAACAATCCATCTCATTGAGGGTCTTCCTCTCCTACACTGTCCCTCCACCCTCCCAAGCACAATGTTCCTCTCCAAGGACTGGTCTCGCCTTGCAACCTGTACCAAGTATGTCAGATGATGCTCCAGAATCCTTACATCCAAGGAGCAACGTGGCTTCACCCTCTCCAGGATGAACCTGTTTGTTCATTGTAGATTCCGTACTCTTCTTCAGCACCACAGCTCAAAGGCATCAATTCTCCTTTTATCATCCCTAGTCATTGTCCAACTCTCTGAGGCATAGCAAGTAATATAAAGACCATGGCCTGTATCAGGCACACCTTAGTCTCCACACTGATAGGTTTACATACAATCATTTGTTTGTGTTTCGTTCATGTATGTTTGTACAATGTTTCATTTATAATGTGTTTCACAATCGTTGGTAGTCATTATATTTTATGTAATTACTATTGATCTATGGCTATTTTGGAAGCAAGTATGGCATCCACTTCCTAAACAACATGCCTCCAGAACCTATGACCTTTGATAAATGTCGATAGTTCTAAAAAGGTTTCAGGCCTTTTATTCTTAGGGTCGCTATGAGTTGTGCTCGACTTGAAGGCAATCAACAACAATTATGCCTGTTATTAGGGAGCCCTGGTGGCCTAGTGGTAAGCAGCTGCGCTGCAATCCTGAACACACTTGCTTCAAATCCATGGGCTGCTCTGCGAGAGAATTATCAGTCTCCTTCTTGAGAATTCTTGAGTCTGAAAACCAGCTGGAGAGTCAGCTAAAAGTGGGTTCTGACTCAAAGGCAAACAGAAACAACAAAAATATGCCTGTTATGATTACTCTGTTGTTCTGAGTCCCCTGTTGTATTGGCTCTTTGTTCTTTCTTACGAATCTTTAACAATACATTTTTAAAAGAAAGCTGGAAAATTAACCTCGTTTAAATTTTCACTCCATGTAAAACTTAAGAACTAGGATACATTTAAAATTAAAAGGGAAAAAAGCTTTTTAAGCTAAAAATTGATCAAGATTTAAAGAAAATATTTTATATTT